GGAAATGAATATGATCCATCAAAAAACTACTTTATAGCGACTGTTCGTATTGCAGTTCCTGAAGTTATGTCTAAAAATTCCTCCAATAAGGCCGTCTAGAAAGTAGTGTGGGGGACCCATGTTACTGGAATGCTCCCATACGTCAAGCATAGCTCCACTGGGGTGGACACCACCCAATAACATGCAAAGTTTAGAAAAAAGATTTTTAAAAACAACCAAAATCATTACAAATGTGCTTACGCCACTACTCCATTGCGGCTCTTTTTTGGTCATATCTTCAGAATAGGTCAGTGGCAGTGTCTGATTCTGATTTGCCGAAGCCGCACCTGAAGCATTAAAAAAAGCACTTCAGACTGTGTGCGAAATTTTGCAAAAACACCGTTTGAACTTCTATTTCGAACTAATTAATGAACAATTCCGCATATCCGATATCGGTAAAAAAAGCTTACAATAATCCCGTATTTTACGTGTGCATGTTTTTTTTTTCAACCAACGCATGGCATGTATGTCCCTTACTTTACAATTTCACACAGGCATCAGAAAATCACGCAAGTCATACGCTGCACTCGTAAAGATGACTTAAGGGCCAATGATATTAAAGGATGCGCGAAAATAATTCTTGAGAATACAAAGCTCATTAGCATCAATTTTTTAAAAAACACAGGAAAGACTGAACCTAATAATTTCCAGTAATTGAGGGATATATGAAAAATTCCAGGATCATCTCACTTCTCCGTCGTCCTTCCCCAACGACCAGTACGATAATGTTACCGGGATTTCCCAACGTAACACGTGCAGCCATTCTGCGCATTTAGATCCTAAACTACCTGCTCCAGTCAGTACTAAAACTGTCAGTCCAGTGCTATCTCTTCAGAAGCCGTCCATTTACTTTTTCGCGGGTACCATCCTCAATTGTGCAGCCAATAAACGCAGAAAAAAATCCCTTACCGTATTCCTCATTTCGCGCTAAACGGGCACTTTGTGAGCGCTGCAGTGGTGGATTGTTGGACATTTGTGAGGCAATTTTCGATTGAAATTGCGTTCTTCCTTGATACCGAAACTTTGCTGAGCCCCAGTGAAACAGTCCTTTATGAGCCTTCTCCTCCGGCTGAATCAACCTGCAACTATCGTAGACTGATCACCTGCATCACCGTTATTTTAATAATCACACAACGATAAGTAGTTTCTTCAATCTGCGCAAAATAACAAAAAAAAATGCAAAGCAATGAATCACTTTATAAATGAAATATATACAACTCAAATAAGTGCATTTTGCTGCTGAACTGCGCCCAATGTAGCACAAGGAGCCATGCATGATGAAGCCGGTTTTAATTATGCAAAAAATGAACTACTATTTCCTCTTGAAACGGCCAAACAAACTGCATCTGCATCGACAGAAAGTTAGAAATTGATTTAAAATAAACAAATAGAAGTTCTGAAATATGCGGGTTCAAATGGGGGGTCACTATTATAAATGTTGATATAAGCAAGTGTGTAGCAACGAACCTGAAAAACGTGTGGTGCTCAACGGCGCATTTCCAAACCCGTTTTGCGGCGTCATGATCGGGCAGCTTGAATGTCACCGTCGATTCATGTTTCTCAAGCTAAAACAAAGATGGCTGATAATAGCAACAAAACCACAGACCACAGTTGCAAAGCGCTCTACTTCGTCCTGCGCTTTTCTTGATCTTTCTTACACTTCCCTCTGTCCCTCCTCCTCCTCTCCCTCCCCCTCTCTCCCCGCACACACACGCGAACACACATGTATGTACACACACACACAAACACACACATACATACATACAAGCCGTATTCAAACGAACGTCTAAATGTATTCAAGCTCCCTTCTACTGATTTCCTTACATTCACACGTCCCTATTTAAAAAAAAAAAAAAAAAAAAAACTCACTTCACCAGGTTTAACTTTGACAATGAAAACATTGCGCCGATAAGCAATTTTGATGATGTTCTGCCACAGAAAACGATGAATACGGATCTGGTCGCGGTAAACATTTATACCGTGCGCGCAAACGCCAATCTGAACCGGTACACCTTTTCCATCCTGCAACAGCACATTACACTTTCCACTCCTTGGGAGTTAAATCTTTTCGTTTTTCAATATATAAACATAAACCTCATCACTTTCCCAAGGTAAATATGGCTTTGCTCAAATTTGGCGTCACTTTGTTAAAAAAAAAAGATCGATGTATCTCCAAAGCCGGAAACTTTTACATAAGTTCGGCAGTTATCTCAACATATATTACATATAAAGCTAAAATATGCATACATAATCTTAAAAAATACACCTACGTCTGAGAAGAAAACAATGCATGTCACAGATGAACACTGCTGTTTCTTTTCGTGGTATAAAAAAAAAGAGAAATGAGGGAAGAGGTAAGCAAGAGGGATGGGGTTGAACCAAACAGATGCAGACTTTTTGAAGTTAATCTAGAGGGGTGCAGGAGGGAACGACGGAAGAAGGGGGATTTTTCAAGAAGTGAAGTCTATAAGGTATCTCGACTACAATGCATTAAGTCTATGTACACTGAAAAAGAGCCATAGAAGTGAAAGTATAAACCTTGGCTGAGAAAAGATGTACACCGTACATGCTCAATTTCTTCGCATTTTCGAGATAGTGCAACTCGGCTTCGCTTGGTGTAACGCCCCTGCAATGTTGGCAAATTAAATTTCCTCTTTCCAAAGTTACATTTAGAGGCGAGCCTGTGACGGAGCAAGGATGATACATGAGAAAAAAACAATCAGATAAATTTGGACTTTGCAATTTCCAACAAATTTTTTAAAAATTAAAAGCAAACGGTAATAGTTAGAAGCATCACTCTGTCTCGACTGGTCCTAAGAATAGAGAATTCGAAGAAATGCATTTTCAGAATATTTATGCAATTCAAAACGCATCATGGCAAGCTCATGAAAGACAGAGAGACTGCTCCTGCTTATCTGCCTTCCCCTTGCCCCATTTTTAGCCTTAAGCAACAAAAAGAAAGCGCTGAAAGACTGAAATTTCGCCAGTGCAACAAAAATAGAAAGCCATATTTTAGGAATTTCTCGTTCAAAAACTAAAC